AAGTCGGCGCCCAAATTACAGGTGCATCGGTCAAAAATAACTGCAATATTACGTTTTCTAAAGCGATAAAGGAACCATAGTGAAGATTTACTGCAGACTCCCAGTGGCCACAAGCTGTGAGGTTAGCGATGAAACATTTGGACATTCACAATTACTTCACAAAAATTGGATGCTTATCTATAAAAAAAGGCTCTGACTTCCACGTAGGAGGCAAACGGTAAGAAAGTAAACAATCTCAAACAGCCTTTCGAGGTGAAAGCCAGCACTTTAATCTCATACAAAGAGCGAAAACAATACCAAAATTTGTCACTGTCCCAATACTACAAGTTGCGCTGTACAGAAATACAACCCAAGCAATAATCACAGTATTGAATCAGTGTGTCTGTGCCAATGTCTACAAAAAAACAAAATTGCACACTGGGAGTCTCACAAAGCTGGTTTTTGGAAGAGCTTTCATTTAGAAACCACTTGTATCCAAGGCTAGAACACAGCCACAGGGAATAAAAGCTCGACTCTTATACAATGTAAGGGTAAAAAGGATCGTATCAGATCAGCCTTTTACTGTTTTTGGGAAACCAGCAGAAACCAAAGCATATGCTGATTAATGTTTAACAAAGTGCTGAATATCTACAAACGGCATAGGAGTTTTATGACATGCAATTTAAGGTGCATTATGAAATGTTGTCTGAAAGATGAAGATCCCTCCACATGCACGCATCATATTAAATTTATTATAGGACCAAACTGACATAATTCATGTCCTTGTAACCCAAACAGGGTTCTATCTGTTTGAAAATGTGAGTGCTTTTGTTTTGTTTGAGGAAAGCAATAATTAATTTTCCAAAATAAATTTTTCCATCATCAGAAATACTTGTTTTATTACATCATCAGTACCACCCCGCGGTACATCACTCGGCATGTCCAGTCATCAAGTTTAAAAGGTGGGCTGGAAATCATTCTAAATCCTTAAAGGCTATGTTGGAGGAAGATAAGTCAGGGAGAGAGAAGGCAGAGTCAGACTCCATCAGAGCAGAGGAGTGACGCTTCACCCTGCACTCCATACTGCCCGCATCAAAGCTATTATTCTTCAAGGAGGGGCGATGGCTGGCACACAATAACAACAACAAGAGAATAATAGAAATTGAGAAATTCACACAGAGGTGGAAGAATAATGAAAGCCCAGAATGCTTATTGAGACAGCAGTGTGGTGGAAAGGCCAGAGAAAATAGTCTCTCACACACAGTCTCTCTATCTCACACACACACACACACACACACACACACACACACACACACACACACACACACATATACACTTTGTGTGTAAGGAAGCAATCTCCAAGAACATGGAGAATGGGGAAGCTTCATTCTAACCCACCTGACAGTGCATAGCCACTGGCTTGATGAAATGGCAGAGTCAGTGAGCTCTGAAGGCCATTAGATATTTTAGGTGATGGCCTGCGCTCCCCGTCCCCCTGACGCTGTGCTTTTCTCCGCTATAGCGAGGATCAGGCAGAGGACATGCTATTAGGCTTTACATTCAGGCAGCATTCAGGTGGATATATGCGCATGTTAGTTTTATAAGCCAAGGCTGGCTTGAATGGTCTGTAGAGAAAATTAGAATATTGAGATTTCTCTTGCTTCTTTTGGCTCATTCACTCAATTTCTCAGTTTTCTCCGTTCGCTCCAACTATTCACAGCCACAGCGTTTCTCACAAGGTCAGGTGTGGAGTCTCTCCTGCCTCTCACTTGCTCCACACCTCCCTGCTCCTCTTCCCTCATCTGCCTCTTCTCGCTCTGTTTCTCTCCACCTGTACCACTCCCACCGCCTCTCCATTTTTAGTCTCTCCCATAGCATCCCTTTTGATTTCTCTTTCTCACCCACTTCCTCTTGTATTTCCTGCTTCTAATGTCCCTCTTTTTAGTCCCTCAGATGTCTCCCATTAACCTTGTTTATATCTTACACCGTCTTCCCTCTTCAAGATCCTCTTCGTCTCCTTTTCTCTCACCACTTTTCTCTCTGTCTTTTATTCTCAATTCCTGGCACTGCTTTCTCTTCGCACACTTTCATCCCCACTTTCTGTGCACCCTCCTTCCTCCTCTCCTCCCCTGCTCTGATCCTACATCACTTTGGCATTCCCAGGCTGTCTCTAACGTCTCATCCTTTTCATCCTTCCATCCTCCCAGCATACTTCCTCCCTCCACTTTCCTTCCTGATTCATTTTTCCTCTTCACAGACGAATGGTGGGTAATATGGAAATGTCAGCGTGACCAGGCGGGGGATCAGAGAGTTCTATGTTAATATGGCTGGGCTGTCGCTGTGCCATCAGCATAATGTGTGTGTGTGTGTGTGTGTGTGTTTGTGGGAGATAAAGACATAATGATAGGTAACAGTGCTTAGGAATTTGAAGAGGGCAGTTTGTGTGTTTGTACATTTGTTTTTTTATGTGCTGGTGTTTCTTTTTTGTCACCTGCAGGCAGTGATGCTACTGTAAAGTAGAGCAGCTATGACATAGGTCTTCTGTTCTCACTCTCCTCTCCTCCAACTCTCTCTCTCTTCCTCTCCTTCTCCCTCTGTCGCTCCCCCTTTCTTCTCAGTTTTACCCTTGAACCATCTTTTATTCTCTAATTCCCTAAGTTCCTGTCGCCCTCTGCCTCCCTCTCTTCTGTTTAATAAGACCAATGCTCTCTAAATATTTATACCGTCAATTACTGTTTCGATTGCCACCTCGCTTCGGCATTTCTGAAAGTCTGTGCACACGCACAAGAATGCACACGTTGATTTTTTTCTTCCCTGCAACTGCTGTTCAAATGACACAGAGTCTCTGAGTCGTCAGGGCTGGGGGATTGGGGACTATCGGGAAGGATGAGGGCATCCAAGTCTGTGTATGTCTTGTGTGTAATATTCATTTCCCTGGGGCTGAAAAGAGTCTCATAAGGCCGGTCCGTCTCTCTGCTCAGCTCTGGCAGGGGCTGACCTATGCTGGCTTTCCTCTTATTGCCTCAGAATGACAGACAACAGGTCCAGCCCTGCTCTGCCCCCACATCCTGTGTGTGTGTGTGTTGACACTAAATCCTTGCATTTGTCCTCATGTCTGTGTGTGTGTGTGTGTGTGTGTGTGTGTGTGTGAGTTTTCACACAAGGGATATCTGAAGCAGAGTAGGTTTATACAGTGCCACATTGAATTATGACCCCTGACATGTCAAGCTGACTCTGTCCATAACACCACAATCAAATTTGTAATCAAGGGTTTCCACAATATTTCGTCCTGCTCTGCTACAGCCTTCGGTTTTCAGAGTGCAGCTCGAATTCCCAAAACTAATCTGTAGTTAGTCCAACCAGTTCAAGAAGATTGACAAACAGTTGTAGTTTTGAACTTCACTAAATGCTTCAGACGCGTAAAGATCAGAGGCTGGAAGCTCAGCAATGAAGTTGTCATGTGATATGTATAGGATGTTATATAGGATCCTTTTACACCTATTTGACCAATTATGTGTGTTGATTGTAAGACATAACAGACAGAAACAGATAAACACAGATCTCCTGCAAAATGTATCACCCCTTGTCATGACAGGAGGACAACCAGTTAGATATGGGAAATACACACACACACACACGTAAATGCAAATGTACGTCAAAACAACGATTATTAGGAAATGGGGGCAGAAAGACGCACACATACACAAGACCAACTCTGAACACAGACAGCAGGAGCAGCATAAGTACACGTCTTTTCTGTTTTCTTCTCCTTTATCAATAAAAACGACATTCATACCAATAAACAACTTTGACTCAAGTAAAAAATAGCATCAGTTCAGTTACTCTCTCTAGCTCAGTACAGCTCTCTGCTGCTCACACAGGCCACTGCGGTTGTCCACAGGTTCCTCTGTGGCTACAAAGGGGTTGTTTTGTGGTTGCAAATTGGGTCGGTCCTGGGAGAGCAGATGTTATTCTAGGAAAGGCTTGTTTTCCTCCACTTTCCCACTCAGTTTTCTACTTTGTCCTCCCTCTTCCTCTCTTCCTCTTTATTGATATCTTCAGCTCCCTTGAAGACAGAAGGTGTAGGGTTTATTGCTAGTCAAAGGAGAAAGACAACACTGCCCTTTCCTCTTATCTCCTCTTCTGTGTGTGCTGTGTTTTTTTTTTTTTTTCCATTAGCCCTCTAGATCATATTAGTTTCAACACAACAGCCTTGGCTCAGCACAAACTGGTGGAACCAGTTCTGCAAGTAATTGTTTATCTTTCAGGGAAATTGTCTTCCATCTATGCTCTTGTATAAGTACATATCTTTCTGGTAAACACATTGGAAGCACACAAATACGAATACACACACACACACGTTGAACACCATCTAGGCCTGGCTAGACACAGTTTAAGTTGTGTATCCGCAGGTAATCCAGTCTTAAAACAGGTGCCATCTTGCTGACATCCACTAATGCGCGCTTACTCATACAAGTAATTACATTTTCACAGAGACCTGGATTAAACACACAGAAACACACAATTTTTTCACACAAACAGATTGTCACTCTAAAGCTCCCTCGCTCTCACTGCTTCTCACACGCCTACTGACACAACACACCAAGAAAAGCATATTTATTTTGAATCTTTGCTGTTACACAGGAATGTGTCTGCTAAGCAAATGGCAGGCTTTAGAAAAGCATCCACATGATTTACGACTTATGAGGAAAAGAGAACTGCCTTTCTGCTTCTGCTTTCCCCCCCCCCCCAACACACATCGCCTTGTTTTTTATTTTTTTTTATTTCAGCCTCTCCGTCCACTAACGCACAGTCATGGAACGATACCAGACTCTCGGCCTACTTGCCCGGGTTCACTAACGCTGTCCTCTGTTCTAGCAGACACTTCCTTGCTGTCCTCATTTATCATCAGGAGGCTTTGTACCAACACGATTCTCCTGCTCCCTCTCCCCCATCCTCTCCTAGCACAGGAAGGCAGGATACAAGTGAAAATAATGTCTCTCTTTCTCTGTTTTCCCCAGGAGTGTCAGGTCAGCGGGTGAAGGTGGAGCCGGAGGTGTTGTCATATCCTGGCCAGACTGTCAACCTGCGTTGTGCCTTCGCTGATGCTGCCGGGATTCAGCTCACAATGGTCAGAAACACACGAACACACACTCTCATGAACACCATTGTTTTCTTTTTTTTCACTTAGGATTTGATTACTCCTTCATACCACCAAACTCATATCAGCTTTAAACTGGGTTTGTGGTTTGAAATTGTAATAAAAATGTCTCTTTCATCCTGAAATTGCAGCCCATTGTGCTGACTTGGCACAGACTATTTGCTGAAATTGCTCGAGACTCCAATTTTCTTTCACAATTGAATGTCAGACATTGGACATTAAGTGACTGCACAATTTAATATTTGACTAAACATCTGGCTGCTTTCTTGTAAAATCAAGTACATGCTAATTATGTGTCAACCTAATTTTGGAGGTGTGTTTTTTTTTCTTTTAAGATAAGAGGAATTCCTAGTAATTAAAACGAACCTAAAATGATAACACAGGTCTATGTGCTTTGTTTACTGACGACATTTACCTCAAATCTAGCAAACTATAGCTCACAGAAATGATCCTAAGGCTAGTAATAGGTTTTTATCACATTTAGGCTTAATGTGTTATTACTCCAAACAAACAATACTAAGCTTGATTTTGCTTGGGGGGATTGAATATGCTAATGGAGACACTCCTTAATCGTATCTCAATAAAGTGGTAAGTGCACAACTCTGCTTGTTTCTGCTAAAAGAGAGCGGGAGTATTGCTCCTTAAAAACTCACATGCATATTCATACCTGCTCCACTTCTTTTTATTGTGACGCTGTGTACGCTGCCCCGAGGAGTTTACAGCAAAATACAGATGTCTTAAAACACTCTTTTTCAGTGTCGCTTATCAATGCTGTGATAAATGAAGCCTGTGTTTCTCTTATTCACCGCATGCCTTCTTAACAACATGACCCTGTGCTTCCTCCATCGCCACAGGTCACATGGATCTATGAGCCCAAGGAAGGAGAGAGGATCAACATTGCCGTGTTTCACCCCAACTTTGACCCCAACTACCCTGACTCACCCGTAAAGGGCCGAGTCAGCTTTGTACCCAGCCCCCCGATCCTAGCCAGTCCCTCCATCCAGATCAGCGATGTTAGGATGAACGACGAGGGGAAGTACATCTGCGAGTATGCTACCTACCCCAGAGGCAACGAGCAAGGCATCACATACCTGGTCATGCTGGGTAGGTCACCAACATGATATATATATCTATAAATCAAATAAAGACATAGTTTTAAAACTGCCAATACGCTTCCAAAGAGTTCATGAGAGGGGTCATGAATGTTTCTGCTAGTAAAAGCAGGTATATGTGAGGAACCGGCAGCTGAGTGTACAAACTCTAAGTTAATTTAAATTGGTAATGAAAATAATTATTTTTAACCCTAGAGGCAAATATGCTTTATTATCAGTAACTAAAAATAAACGCACACTTTCAATTCCCCAACACGCTTGATGTGATTTTCTGTTGAAACTTGTGGTAGCTCCTTATTTCAAATGCACCTCTGTAAATATTTCTACCACAGAACTTAAAAGATGAAGGGGACTCTTTGCAATTTAATATCCCAAGTCTTAGCTCTATGTCTAGTTACACCTGAGTTCCCCTAACCCTACAAACTCGTAATGTTACAGGAGCACTGTTGTCTACCAGGGGTAATATACTTCTGTTGGAGTTCTCCATTGATCAACATGTGCTCTTGGGTTTAAACCCATCGCAGTTTTCTGTATTCTAGGACTTGAAACATTGTAAAATTCTCTTTGTAAAATGCCTTATTTTTATAACAACTGCAAAAGTAACACTTTTTTTTTAGATTAAATTGGATTTTTACCACAGATGAATCAAACCCAACATAACCCTGACTAGCCTGTTATAAAAGAGCTGTAGTTTTTTTTACCCATATTTTCTTACAATGAATGAAAGCAGTAGTCAAGGCAATTTAGATCAGGAGTAATACTACCATTTATGGATTTTAATATCTTTTCTCGCCAAAAAACTGTTCTCTGTTCCTGCCTCTCTAGCAGAGTTGTTGAAATTGTGCCATAAATGCTTTTCTTTTTTTTCTTTAAATTTATCAACTGTCCCTTTTTATAGTGAGTGTATGCATGTTAAATTAAATGTTTTATGATGTGATGTAGAAAGCAGCCTACTATCTATGTGTGTGTGTGTGTGTGTGTGTGTGTGTGTGTGTGTGTGTATATATGTAAATTACTCTCTGCTCTTTTCATCTGATCTCTCCAACTCTCTCCCTCCCCCAAAGGTAGCATTCAGGTTAAAAGCATGTCCAGCTCTGCTTAATTGCTATTATAAGTGGTATTGTCAGATCAATTGTGTTCTTGTTAATGCAATGGAACCATTGGTCTAACCTTGGCCCAGCACCAGTGCCTTCACTCTGCACTCGACCCCCCCCTCGCATCATGCCTCCCTGACTCCCCTCAGGCCTCTCTATTGATCTGGCTGCTTGTCATGCCTGCTGTCAGCTCCTGTCCTGCCCGCTTTCCTCTGATCCCACACTCGTATCAGAGAGGCCGATTGAGGAGTTATGAGAAGAGATGTAGAGTAGATGGGGCGGGGGTTCACAGAATCGTGTAGTGATTTTGAATTTGTGTATTGAAATGTACTTCAAGTAGAGGAAATAATTTATCAATGGTGGTTCATTTAGATAGGGATGGGAAAAGATTCAAGAGAAGGAGGTAGATGTAAAGAAGATTTAGTGTTTGGGTATTTTTACACTGGTGCTTGTAATTGTTTATCAACATTGGCTCTCATGAGAAAATAAACATGGTGAAGGAGGGGTGCAAAGGTTGCTGGGGATTGAGGTTTTTGCTGGGGATTGAGGCTTTTGGATCTGCTTTTGCCCAGCTTCTGACTCAAATCGTTTATCAATAATGCTGCCTATTATCTTCTCCCTCAACTGTCTTACTTCCATTTTTATCTATTTCGACACACTTTAATCTTCTCTCTCCCCTTTTTTTGTCTTTTTCTCTCTCCATCCCCTCATCAATCCATCCCTCTATCAGCTAAGCCCCAGAACTCAGCCTCCCTCGTGACAGTCGAAGCCGGAGCTAAGCAGGTTGTCGTGGCGAAATGCGAGTCTGTGGATGGCCGTCCAGCTGCGCAGATCTCTTGGGTGACCACAGCCAATGGCAACGCGACAACCGTGTCGAAGCCGGGAGCCGACAACACCGTGACCATGAGGAGCGAGTACCGCATGGTTCCCACAGCGGCAGACAACGGGAAGGACATCAGTTGTGTGGTCGTGCACAGGACGCAGGTCAAAGCTGAGAGCTTTCCGTTAAAGCTAGAAGTTCAGTGTAAGAGGCCACATACACACATTACCCAACACTTATAACTCTATGAATTCCTTTGCTGTAACATGATACATTTTGCCTGTGATTAATTGGACTATTTTTCCTCCTTCCTGCTGCTATTCATCTGTCCTCCCCCCAGATGCCCCTCAGGTGACAATAGTGGGTTATGACAATAACTGGTATGTGGGTCGTACAAATGTACTGCTCACCTGCGAGGCTAATGGAAACCCTGTCCCGCTCTCTGTCCTGTGGAAGACGTGAGTATCAGCACATCCAGCTTCTCTTTTGTTACCTCGTTTCTCTCTCTTCACTGTCTCTCTTTTTCTGTCTCTGTTTTTTTCCTTTCATTACCCTTCGTTCCCAGGTCCACAGAGCTGTAATCAGCATTTTTATTATTGCCACTACAGCCCTGCGCTCTGATTATGGAGATAGGCGTATAATTTCTCATAATGGACTCTGTGACTCGAGAGTTAACCCCTGCTTTATGAGATACACAATATGACTTTCTTTCTTCTTTTTCTCTGTATTATTAACTATTTCAATAACTGTGACCCAATTTGAAAAAAAATATTCAAGTCTAAGACTTGGAAAACGGAAAAGATGAGATTTTAGGCCTGGATCCAGCAGTTTTGATTTTCCTGCTGTTTCATTGCATTTTCCTCCTCCTCCACCAATGGTTTGCCTTTTTAGGAAGCGGGAAACAAATTAGTTTTGCACTACCGACCAAGATTAGTTAAATGTGATGATATTGCACAATATAGCACATTTCAGTGAATGTAGATCCAGCTCAATGCTCTCATAGTGCCAAATCAAACAACTACAATACTATGCTCTTTTTTCCCCTCCTTTTGACCTTCTTAATTTTCTTTTATCTCATGCTGATATGCTCATGTCCCTGCAGTATGTCCGGAGAGATACCTGACACGGTGCAAATCAACGGAAACGAGCTGAAGGTGCTTAAAGTAGACGATGCCGTGAACACCACTTTTGTGTGCGAGGTCAAGAACCGTATTGGGAGTGGCAGGGACCAGGTCGCAGTCATGGTCAGAGGTGAGTTCAAGAACACAAACATGGAAAGCACCCTACACATGTACACCAACATTTTATGTACACAGCATCTGTATATACTATCCTAAAGATGTAGGTCAGATCACAAAAAAAATAGAAATTTAAACCTCAAACGAATGTTTTCAAAGGTAACCTCAAAAAGAAGCACTTTTTGTGCACTTCTCTGTGGTTTGACGAATTGGCATTAGAATTGTTTCTGCCATCACAAATCCACCCATCTGCTGCTCTAAGTAGGTTAAATCCAAGACAAATTGTAATTTGTGAATGTTTTAAATGGTCTAAAACTGACAAATTGTACACACTAAATGCCTCCAGTGAAGGAAGCATTTCAGAAGTGAAATGAAAAACACATTTGTGGCTCGCTTGGGTCCTGTTCATCATCTTAACCTTCCCCTGGCTTCTGTATAAAAACATTTATATCCTCTGAACTGATGAACTGGAACCAAGTGCACTTCCATCACATGTGCTACACATTTTCCTGCTGTACTGCAATCTTATGTCTTCCCCAGGGATCCACCTTGTGTGTCTTCACATGTCACTTGAACACAACATACACAAACACACAGATTATCTGTACTGAGGAACTCTCTTTGGTGATTAGTGTAGGGATAGAGGGTCCAGCTGCTCTGTCTGTCTAGGGTGTGTGTGCAGAGAGTAAGTTCATATCTGCATGGATTCTGTGCTCTATTGGGTTCTCTCCTACACCTTTTCATGTCTCTCCTTCACCTTGGCCTATTAAGCATGCATGTCACTTTTTCCTCTTTCACTTTGCATTCACTGTATAATGCTGTATTACCAATGTTTCTATGCCTCAGCGGTATCCAAGGTTTGTCAATCTGCTTCCTACATCACATTGCATTTAAGATAGCATTTATTTTAGTTTTTAGTGGTAGTACACATTGTGAGGGTTGCATATAGAGGAGAATGTCCTTCTCTCTGCTTTTCTTGTACTTGTTTTTGAGTAGCTTCTCAGCAGTGCCCTTGACATGTAGTAATGACCAGATGAGACTAAAGCAAAGCAAATGAGCAGTATTCTTTCACTAAAAGTGATTCATTTCACTCAGACACTTTTTTACTCTGCATTGACTGGATTTCAGTTTTTCTTTCATTTCTATGTATGTGTTTGTGCAGTTTATTTTTTTTGTTTTATGTATTGAGGTGTAAACATGTGTTTGTGTGCTGTAGCGCTTGTTGTACCACCTCAAGTCTTATAGTGAAACCAGAATGGTGCCAGTCAAGATGGAAAACACACCATGCTTCCATTCCCCGCTGTTCCTCCAGAGTTTGAACTGCCCTCCTCAAAAGGGTTCACTCCTGCATCTCACCTCATACAAAATACATTTCCCTTCACTTTGCTGTTGCATGCCTGCACTTAACCGGAAGTTTTTCCTGCTGACATGGTGGTAAACCTTTTCTGTAATGGGGGGAAAAAAAGAGCATTTCTCTGGTGGTTACATTTTAAGAGCAACAGCGACTCCATGCCCTCCTTTTCTTTCTTTTTTTGTCCCTTTTGCTAAGTCCCTCCTCATTTTGTCCTTTTTTTCTTTCTTTCACTCCTACCCCCTCAATCTTTCTTCAAGTCCCTTAGCTCCTTATGGTGCCACAGTATGCGTCACCGGTCCTCTGGGGCCATTCTGTACTGCTGCAGAGTAGTGTTAGTGGCTTCTGTATCACAAAGGATGTTACCGTCTCCCGCTGTGTATTACAAGACACAAGCAGGGAAGGTACAAAGATCCAGGAAGTGGATGGGGGAAGATGGAAGCTGCTGCAATAAGATTTAAAACTGGTGAACTAGGACCGGGATAAATCAGTGCCAGCATGCAATCCTCACACTTACAGAAAAAGAGAGGGAGGGCGCAAAGGCATGAGGGATGGAGCGAGAGAGCGGATGCTGACGGCATTTAAAACTCCCATGGGAATCTTGTGCCACTGCATCCTATCTCCTCTGCTATTGGCCTCCACTATCTCTCAGCATGGCGTGTGTGTCTGTCTGTCTCCAAGCCTCTCAGAGCGGATCAGTCACCCTTTGCTGCTTCAGCTCCTGGCTGCTTCTCTCCTTGCTTCCACAATCCATTCCTTTTTCTCGCTCTGTCTTCATCCCACTTTTACCTCTTTTTTTTGTACTACCATGCTCCGCTCGCCTCCTTTTTCTTACTAGTTACTCTGGTCTCTCCTTTTAGTTTTGAACCTCCCACAGTTTCCTAGCCCTGTCATCTCCCTCCATCTAGTCTTGCCACCTCCTCCCTCCATCCCACTCCCCTCTTACTCACTGGCAGAAGAAGAGGAGGAGGAGGATAAGACGGTAGCTAAATTTGCTGGTAGTTAAGAGGTGACTGAGGCAACCAGCATGTGTCAGAGCAAGGTTTGTAGTAGGCAGAGAGTGAGGGAATAGTTTTCTGAAAGAAAAAGGGTTGAGTCAGTATCGGTCGAAGTACAATGAAAGAGTTGATGACTGTCGAAATGAGCGAGATATGGAATGACTCCAGGTGGGGGGTTGGGTGTAGACCTGTGGAAGCTAATGTGAATGTGTGTAGACAAACAGGGCTAAGAGGGGCCGACAGGCGTGAAATGGCCAGCACCTGCTACAGAGCAGGTCCCCTACTTCTCTCTACCCCAAAGCTGCATGACACACATATCTACTCTAGTGTGTGTCTGTCTGTGCGTGTTCCTGTGTCCTCTGCCCCCAGTCTTGTCCTGTGCTCCTGGGGGCAGCGAGAGGGGTGGATGTCCTCTTTTCTCCTTGCCTCTCTTCCTCTCATCTTCGATCCTGCTGCTTAGTCACACACATAAACGTATCCTTCCCTGCTCTCCCTTCCTCTTGTCTTTAGATTTATCTATCCCTCGCTATCTCTTTCGCTGCAGTTTGCTCTTTTCATTGCGTCTCTCATCCTCTCAGTTAGCATATGCTCTCTCCTCATCCTCCTTATCTCTCCCAGGTTGTCTTTCAGCCTCCGCAAGTCTGCCACTGATCCCCCCCCCTGCCCAGAGAAGAGACTTCTGCCCCTAGCTTTCTCTCTCTATCTCTCTCCTCTCTCTCTCTTTCTCTCTCTCACATGTTATTTAGCTCTGCCTCTCTCAAAAGCTTAACTCTTAAATACCAGTAGCTCTTCCTTAATCACAGCTTAGTAGTCTCCATCCCTCCATTCCAGGCTCCTCTCGCGGGGGTTCCTATGTGTCTAACCCAAATTCCCTCCATTGTCTGCCATGTTTCAACCCTCAAATTTTTCTCACAGGGGTGACTCAGCTGTACCTTCTAAAGTTGTATGTCCCCAAATAAATACCCCTCATGGTTTTAACTTAATTAAGTCAATTCAGTGCTCTTTCCTCAGAGAAGACAGTTCAAGGGCAAGGAGCCTGGCCATTTTCTTCCATTGAGTTTGGGGGTGTGTGTATCTGTCTTTTCTGTCTCTGTGGTACTCCGGTCATGCGAGAAACAGCCAGAGAACAGGTCTGATGGAGCCAAGACTCCCTCCAGCCTGCGACTGGCCCCTTGCCCACCCCTCATTAGCACACACTCACACGTACTCAGTTGTGCCTGTGCATACACACACAGTTCTGTTCAATAAGTTAACAAGCTGACAGAGGGTACTGCTAAGCTGTGCTCTAGGTGCAGCCCAGCCCTGTGTCAGCAGGCCACTGTTGACCATGATGCGTGTGTGTGCGTGTGTGCGTGTGTGCGTGTGTGTGTGCGCGTGTGTGTGTGTGTGTGTGTGTGTGTGTGTGTGTGTGTGTGTGTGTGTGTGTGTGTGTGTGTGTGTGTGTGTGTGTGTGTGTGTGTGTGTGTGTGTGTGTGTGTGTGTGTGTGTGTGTGTGTGTGTGTGTGTGTGTGTGTGTGTGTGTGTGTGTGTGTGTGTGTGTGTGTGTGTGTGTGTGTGTGTGTGTGTGTGTGTGTGTGTGTGTGTGTGTGTGTGTGTGTGTGTGTGTGTGTGTGTGTGTGTGTGTGTGTGTGTGTGTGTGTGTGTGTGTGTGTGTGTGTGTGTGTGTGTGTGTGTGTGTGTGTGTGTGTGTGACCATGCATGTTTTTGGGAGGCTGCTGTTGATGTTACTTCCACTCCATCTCCCTCATTACTTGCGGTCACTTGGAGCGTACGGTCGTGCTGGACGCGAAGCATGCTGTGTTTTGGCTTACGCAGTACGCTGTGTGTGTGTGTGTGTGTGTCTTTGAGGAGATGGCTTGGTGCTTGTGGGCTGCAGTTACTGTAGCTTTTGCCTGTTTGTTATCCCCCCCCCCCTTGTTATCCACACAGCATGCATATTGCAGTTTTTCTGCTGGCTCATCCAACAGCATGTGTTTAGAAGATGTCCTCTCCTCACCCACTTTAAAAGATTCCTCTTGTGCTCTGTTTGGATGTGTCCTAGGTCTGCACTGGGCCTGTACTGGGAGCCCAGGCTGGCTCCTTTACATCTATCTCTTGAATCTTTCAAGTGTTGTGTCCAGAAGGACAGAATAATACATGAATCATCATCCACCAAAGGAATTACCAGTAGAGACTTTGAGAGAGACACTTAGAAAACTGACTTGAGCGACGCATTAAAAATAATTGGATGAGTAGAATTTGGAGAGAATTTGAATTTTGGTGTAATTCCCTTTGAAGTGACAGCAATGTGCGGCAGCATCCGGCCTTAGTCTGCACAGAGATTGTTGGCACGTTGCTTGCACTGAAGCTCCACCAAGCCTAAGGTGATAATGCATTTCTTGTGTTCCTGTTAGAAGTGGACACTGAGGGCTAGCTCTCACTCTCATGTGTGTGAACAGGAATGCTTAGCACTACTCGGAGGAGAGAAGGAGGAGGGAGAGATACTGTGTTAGGGGAGTCTGGTGGGAAATATTTAAATAAAGGAAGGGAATTTGCCACACTTTATTTCCAAGAAAATGTTGCAAGTGAAGGACAGATGAGGAGAGCAAGGAGAAAAAAGCTTGTGACAGAAATACAAACGTGAATTAGGGATATGGCGCAAAAGGGGATTTAGAGAAGATTGAA